GTTAAAAGTAGTAACCCAGTTAATGTAAATAGGAACTTAGCATAATTTTTTGGATGGAGGTAGGTCTATAATATCAACTTAGGGGTGCTTAACCACTGAGCCACATCCCCTGCCCTTTTTATTTTTTCTTTTGAGACAGGGTTTTGCTAAGTTGCTCTGGGCCTTGCTAAGTTGTGGAAGCTGGCCTTGAACTTGTAATCCTCCTGCCTCAGCCTCCTGAGTTGCTGGGATTACAGGCATGCACCACCACACCTGGCTATAATGTCTTTAATTGACTTAGAAGCTGTGTATTAGGAAGCCAGACCCAGAACGCCCCTTGAGGCAAAATTTACATAGACATTCCCTGATTTTACTTACTATAATTTATTTGGAGGGATATGGGGTAGTCTGATGGTCATAAGAAGGGGGGAAGTCCTTGACCTCTGCCTGGAAACAGTGTCTAATCCATACTGGATATTTTTTCCTTTCCAAAGTACTTGAGATCTCAGAAAAGGGAATCAGCCTAAGTTATTTAGGACTTCTGAGATGGTCTATGCAATTCCTTTGACAATTGATTATGATCAAAATGGGATTCCTCCTGGAAATGTTCTGTAATCCAGAGAAGGCATTGTAAGAGATAATAATCTTATCTACCCAATTGCCACAAATATCTTTTTAATTTGAAAAGGAAATGATTATTCATCCCTCATTCTGATCACCAACTGTCTGGCATAAATCAGACAATGGAAATATCTTAGAACTATGGTGCTAATTTGGAAATATTGATGGAGACTTGAGATTTCTGTTTCTCCTTATCTTCTGTTTCTCTTTTTCTCTATACTGAGCTTGCACTTATTTGCTGGTGCTCTTTGAAGACATGGTAAAGGGAAGGAGGATGAAGAAGTCTGACACTCAAGGATCTTATCTTTTACTGGTGGGGTGAGAATGGATAATGAGTTGAAAATAATGGCAGATGGAGACAAATGCCATAAAGAAGGTTGGCAGAAAAGGTCAGATGGGGAGTACTGAGTGGTGAGTGCTTCTTAGAGACAGCTGTGGTTTGGATATCATTTGGGGCATCAAATTTCAACTCATGTTGAACTCTTATTTCCAACATAATGGTGTTGAGAGGGGCCTTTAAGAAACATTTGGTTCAGGAGGGATCCTATGTGAATTGGTTAATGTAGGTCCCATGAGAAAGGGTTAGTTCACCTGAGAGTGAATTGTTCTAAAGTAAGACTACCCTAGGAATTTCTCTCTCTGTGTGAACTCACTTGCCCTTCTGCTTTCTACCATGAGATGAAGCAGCATGAGGCCCTCACCAAAAGCTGGTCAGATGCCAGAACCATGCTGTGGGATTTTCATAAACCATGAGCTAAGACAGAAAATCCCTTTTCTTGAACAAATACCCAGTCTCAGGTACTCTGTTATAGTAATAGAAAATGAACTAGGAGACCAAGGGAAGGCTTATTGCAGAAGAACTATTTGAGCAGAGACTTGAAAGAAGTCTTTTAGGGAACAAGTCTGAAAACATCTGAGGGAACAGCTGTTTCTACATAGTGAAGATAGCAAGTGCCAAGGCCCAGATATGGGAATGTGTTTTGTATATCCAGGAGACACTGAGGCCTCCTCGAGGTGGAGGACGAGTGAGTGATGGAGAGAATGCTGAAACAAAGTTGGAGATACAGGTGAGAGCCAGATTAGTTGGGGCCACTGGGTCATTCTACAGTAGAGCTACTGAGGCCTAGAGTAAAGTAGGGACTGAGCCCAATCTAAATAGACAATCTAAATCTTCCATCTGGAAGCTGGTCAAGGTCATTAAAGTCACTCTGTATTTTTCTCACCTGAAATTTCTCTTGCCTATGTAGAGCCATAAAATTGTATTGCAAATCTACAGATCTTGTGCATTTTTTTTTTTTTTGCTTGTTCTGAAACCCAAAGTTCAAGAAGTCAATTATACTGGATGTTAAAATAGACTCAATGATCTCTCTCTAATTTTGTGAATATGTACACATGACTTGTAGGAAATGTAAAAAAGAGGTGGTGCACTGAGAATGTTGTTGTTAATTTTATTAGTCAACTTGATTGGGCTAAGAAGTGCCTAGACAGCTGGTAAAACATTTTTCTGATGTGTCTATGAGGTTGTTTTTGGTAAGAGATTGGATCAGAATTGGTAGACTGAGTACAGAAATTTCCCCTATACCAATACAGATTTGTATCGTCCCATCTACTGAGAATCTGAATAAAAGAAAATGTGGAGGAGGGGCACATCTAGTCTCTGCTTGACCTGGGGCTTTGGACTTCAAATGGGACTTACATCAGTGACCACCACCTCCACCCTTGCCCAACTGCCCCTTCAGGCTTTTGACCTTGGACTAAGGGCTTACACCATGGGCTCTCCTGTTGCTCAGGTCCTCAGACAGGCTTTCATTTTTAATTCAGAGAATGTGTACTCCTCTGTAGTCAATTTGAAATGGCTTTTAAGCTCAATCCAAGCACAGTTTGATAAGAGTTGTAATGTGCACAATTAGGCAAGCTTAAATTCTATATCTGAATGTATTTTTTAAAGCTATGCATACTAGATGCATGAAATTATAATACTTTCCATCAAGTATTTTTAATATTACAAAGCAGATCCCAGCTAGCAGCCTGCTGGTTTTCAGGTGTGCTGTATGTGTCTTTGTGTTAAGTTTCCTGTTCTTTTGTTCTGAAAGCCATTGTTTTTTTTTTTTTAAGGTCATTATTTAGCATTGATTTCTACATATAGGCATTGAGTTGCTGTGGTTTCTTTCCCCAGAGTTTTAAACATGCTTCATTTCCTAGCCACACAAATCAAATTCCAATCTTAACTGAGACAGAGCTAGCATGCAATTACTCTAACTTGCAATTGTTCTGTGTTTCTGTAGCCACTTGGAGGTGTTTTCCCATATGTGAGTAAGGGATAAGTCCATGTGGCCCACCTCCCAGATTGTTATTTGATGAACTGAAAGAGAGGGTTTTAGGAGTAAAAAGGCCTGTACAAATGCCCTAATCTGCATTCAGTACAAGAATTCCCCAGTTCTAAGAAGCTCTTTGTGGTGGGCAGAAGTGCCAGGACCACGGACTTTAAACACGGCAGTAAGCCAGCCCTCTCCATCTTTGACAGCCATCCTGCTGCCAGAACAATCTTTTGAAAACAAATCTTGAGCTTGCCACTTCTGCTCTGAAATCTCTTCACTGCTTCTCCAGTGCTTGGAAGACAAAACTCAAGCTGTCCTGAGCACAGCCTTTTGGGTTTTGTTCGATTGCTTGCCTTCCATGCATGCACGCCCAGCCATGGCCAGTGACCAAGCACAGCAGGTCACATAGCTCAGTTTCTTATCTGGGATGGCTCTTGTCCCCTTGGTCAATATGCTGCAAAGGTCTAATCCATCACTTATGATCTCCACGTTCCCAGCACTATTTAATACTGTATTTAGAGACAGGGTCTCGCTGAGTTGCTTAGGGCCTCACTAAGTTGCTGAGGCTACCTTTGAACTCATGATCCTCCTGTCTCAGCCTCCTGAGCCACTGGGATTACAGGCCTGTGCCACCACACCCATCATAGATCCTGTTTATACCTTCAACTTACATCTTCTTTCTACTGATCCTGCAAATTCCAAAACTATGCTAGTGGACAGAATATAGCTATCCCTTGGTATCTGCAGGGGTTTGGTTTCAGGACCCTGACAGTGAGAAAGTCTACATATACTCAATTCCTGCACAAAATGGTATAGACTTTGTGTAGAAACTGTGTACATCTTTATATGCTATGTTATACATCTTTGCATTCAAATCAGCTGTTTTAGTCAGCTATTTCACCGCTGTGACTAAAAGACCCAACCTGCACAACTGTAGAGAGGAAAAGTTTATTTGGAGGCTTATGGTTTCAAGGTTTCAATCCATAGATAGCAGGTTTTATTCCTTGGGGCTCAAGGTGAGTGAGGCAGGCCATTATGGTCAAAGAGTGTTTCAGAGGGAACCAGCTCACATGATGATCAGGATGCAGAGAGATTATTTGCCAGACACAACTATATACCCCAAAGCCATGTCCACAATGCCCACCTCCTACAGCCACACCCTACCACTCCAGTTACCACCCAATTAATCCTATCAGGGATTCATTCACTGACTGGGTTAAGGCTCTCACAACCCAATCATTTCTTCCCTGCTCCTTCTTGCACTGTCTTGCACGTGAGCTTTTGGGGGACCCCTCACATCCACCATTTTTGGGGACCCCTCACATCCACCATTTTGGGGGATACCTCACATCCACCATGTTATGGTGGATGTGTCCCCCAAAAGCTCACGTGCAAGACAACGCAAGAAGGAGCAGAGAAGAAATGATTGGGTTGTGAGAGCCTTAACACCTAATACAATGTAAATTGAGACTATGCTCCATGGTTTAGGTAAGAACAACAAGAAAAAAGTTGGACATATTCAGTACAGATGTGACCATAACTATGTATTTCACAATAGCAACAACATAACTATTTTTTTTTTCAAAATTTCCTATCCATATTGGGTAAATCCAAGGACTTGGAACCCAAGTATACAGAGGATTAACTACAATTGGTGTTGGATTAGTGTGTATTTGAGTAGCAATATTATTTTTTCAAGTGGATATTATAAACATTTCTATGGAAGAGTTTAGGATGTATTATACACCATGGTCCCTCAGGCCCAGCAGATTTCTCACTCCAAGTGTCCTTTGGTCATAGCTGCTGTTCACTGGGATGTCACTGGCAGGTACCAAGGGTGTGGCAGAGAGATATGCTCACCAGTATGTGCAGAATCCAGGTGAAGTATTTCCTCTAGGTCACTTTCTAAAATGTATTGTTGACATACAATCAATGGATGATCAGGATCCCTTAAAACCATCTTTTCTGTAACAACAGAATCCAGTTAAGTGTCACTATACTATATATATATATAGTATATATATATATATATATATATATATATATATATATATATATATATATATCCCTGTGCAGTGATCACATTGTAAATCCCTCAGTTGATCATCATCCATATTATTTTTATTTTTAGCCACAGATGGACACAGTACCTTCATTTTATCTATTTATTTTATGTGGTACTGAGGATGGAACCCAGGGCCTCACATGTGCCAGGCAGGTGCTCTACTGCTGAGCCCCAGCCCATCATCCATACTTGACTTCCGTATGTCAGGGTTTCTAACCCTTTTCTTCCCAGCCAGGCCACATGCAGCTCGTGTCTCCAGGGCTGTCTGTGTTTATTTTGCTTCTGCAGGATGGTTTGAAGGGCCCAGTGACAGAATATGAGTTTGACTCCTTGCAAAATGATCATTGCTAACTGCTATTTCATCTTTGGTGGTAACGTACCTTTGTACCCATCAATTTGCTCTTAGTTGTGATGGCTCAAGGAACGGACTGATTATTAATCTACTACTATGGTTTAGATCCTAAGAGTCCTTCAAAGGCCCATGTGCTAAATAAAGGCTTTGCCATCAGTCTGTGGCAGTGTTGGGAGGTGGGGTTAGTGGAAGGAAATTAGGTCACTGAGGGTGTGCCTGAAGGACACTGGAGCCCAACCCCTTCACCTCTGTGTTTGTGTTATCTTTGTGTTTGCTTCTTGGTTGCCATGATGCTCTGCCTCACCATAAGCCCAGAGCAAAACTTCCAAAGTGACCATGAATGAAACCTCTGATACCATGAGCCCAAATGACTCTTCTTCCCTCTTAAGTCATTTATCTCAGGTATTTTGTCACAGCACTGGGCAGCTAGTACCCTGACCACCTTCTTAGCACTTCCTGACTTCCTTAGGCTCTTCATTCTTTAGACAGAAATGAAGCCATAAATTAGATTCACTGGAAATTCACATGAAATTCATGGAGATCATGGATCTACAAAGCTGTCCTCTCACTCCATGCTCATACCCAAACTGGAAACTCCTGTTTCTCATAGGGCTGGGTTCGAATTTCCAGGGATCACATAGGAGAGTGTGACCAAAAGCGTGTTACTTACTCTTCATGAAGTGCTAACTGTCTTATCTGTAAAATGGGAACAATAAGGGTAAACTTTCTCCTTATATAAAATGAGATAACATAAGGAAAGCTAATGAGTATCATATTAAAAAGTAGTAGACATTATTAGCTATCATATCATCATTTTGATTTATCATTATCATTAACACAATGTTTTGGACAATTTCAGATGTGGCTAACTGCAAATCCAGCCTATTGTCTCTTACTTAAAAAAAAATGCTATGCAAGGAAATGGAAGAGTGGTTGGTCTGGGATAACCTTATTTCTGGGCCAAGTTATTAATTCTCAGGGAGCCTTCATATACATTGATACCTTAAGTACAATTCTTAACATATTCCTTTTGTCAAGTTTTACACATCTTATTACTTTGATTATTTTGTTCTGGTGTTTATTGGTTCAACACATCAAGGTAGTTATGATACCATGCTCATATGGGTATCCTAGTATGGTATGTGAAATCCAGGGATTTGAAAACAACCTGGCAAAAAAATGGAGTCTCCAGGTTGTGCTGAAATCCATGGTCTCCAAAGATGCCCTCCCAACAGTTACCTGATTGCTACCAAATGCTTTGTGGCCTCCGAATGCCTCCCAAGTACCTTCTTTATGATTGACAGCTCAAGTTCCAGGCGTGAAAAGAGACTGGTCTTCTCTAACAATAATTTTAAAATAATTATTATGACATTAATGGAATGTTAGAGTCTGAAACAAGTCAAGATGGCGCCTGGTATTTTGCGAGAGGGAGTGGTTTGTGAAGTAACGCCAGTGAGCCATTTAGTGTGGAGATTCCTTATTGGTTGACTGCTGTATCGAGTTTATGTTAATTAGATAAGCTGTGTGGAATGTATATATACCACTCCTGTCCTACAATAAATGGCTCCCACTCCTGCTGTATCAATGTACACAAGTTGTTCGTCACCCCCCGGTTATTCTGCTGCAGCCAGACTGCGGCAGATGGTGGCCCATTATGGGGAGCTCTGGGACACTTGGGGGTTAGTGACAAAAAAAAAGCTGCACGTCCCTAGATAGGACGGGAGCAAATCTGTTCGTCCCTAGACAGATAGGGCGAAAGGAAAAATGGCCATTTTGAGAAAATGGAGAGGATTGATGCAGTATGTTTGTGTCTTGTTTTGTCTTGAAATGTTGTATTGTCTTTGTGACGAAAATATGGAAGGGGTGAAAAGTAAATTACTAAGGGAAGAAGGCACCCCAGTGGAACCAAGCATAGTTAGAGCATGTGTTGATGGAAGCCCAGGAACTCTAGTCAGAAAAAAGAAAGTTCAGAAAAAGAAGGATTATCAGGAAAAAAGTTGCAGCAAAAGGCTATTACTGAATACTTTTCGTTACCGGAGGGTGCGTGAATTGGGTGGCGGCTACCACATGCGCAAGCCGGTCATGGCGCAGCAAGGACTTTCCAAGCGGCGGCAGCCGGCTCGGCTCTTCCACTGCCTGGAGCCCAAATCTAGACCTGACCTGGAGGCACAGTCTCACAAGCTTTTGCTCCCTGTGCCCAGAAGCAGTTTGAGTCCGGGACACTCCCCAGGGCCATCTGGGGCTGCCTGGGACGCTACCGGTGTCCCTGATGTTTAGTCATTTTCAATGCCAATAACTAAGCTACAATGGTTCTCCCACACCTGGAGGCTGATTTTCTTTAGCCATTATTGTCGGAGTGAGGGTGGAAGAATTTCCAGTGTTGCTGAAAACCGGACGAGACTTTGGATCAAGCTAGCTGCCTGCAGAACTTACCTGGACTGTGATTTAAGCTAGCTGCCTGCAGAACTTACCTGGACTATGATTTACCTGGACTGTGAGTTAATCTATTGAGACAGTGCTTTACCTGGACTGAGACAACAAACTGTAATCTACAACAAATTGTAACTCGGTATCTTTGCTAACGGTGTCATTGCTGGTATAATTTTTCCAAGGGCTTGTAGCATGGAGCCATCAATTGGCTTGGTATTGTGGCATTTTGTATCCTCCCCTTCTGCTTGTAGCAGATTATTTATAGTGTTTGTGTAAAAACCACTATGGTCGTTATTTAAATTAAACAAAAGGGGGAAATGTTAGAGTCTGTAAACAAGTCAAGATGGCACCTGGCATTTTGCAAGAGGGAGTGGTTTGTGAAGTAACGCCAGCGAGCCATTTAGTGTGGAGATTCCTTATTGGTTGACTGCTGTATCGAGTTTATATTAATTAGATAAGCTGTGTGGAATGTATATATACCACTCCTGTCCTACAATAAACGGCTCCCACTCCTGCTGTATCAATGTACACAAGTTGTTCGTCACCCCCGGGGTTATTTTGCTGCAGCTGGACTGCGGCAATGGAAGTAACTGTTCTTTGCTAGTAGCTATGGTCAACAGACTTAGAGTGCATTTCTGTGAACTGTCTCAATCCTTACTAGTCTTATGAGGTGTCTTTGCACTGTTTATGTTGGGATACTGAGGCAAGGAAAGAGAATTACACTCTTCATGGTCATGGCCTGGGATATAGCAAAGCTAGGAACTAAACCCAGGTATTGCCACTGCAGAGTTCATGATCACCCAGTAGCCTGTCTTTTGTTTCTCCAACATTCTTTTTCTTAAGCTGAAGAATCACAAGTGATTTTCTAATCATAGGAACTCACATTCACTGAGCATATACTGTGTACTAGGACTCAGTGTGGGTGAGGGTGTGCCCCTTTTCTCCTTTCACATTTCCAGAAGTACAAGGAGGGAAAGAAGGAAGTTTGCAGAGGAAACAGATAAGGAAACAGAGGGTCTGAGAGGTTTGTCAGCTCCAATAAGATTTCTGCCTCCAGAAACCGAGTACATCTCATTTTCCAGACACATATTCCCAGAGCATCTAATAATTGCAAGAACTTGATTCACTGTGTGGCTATGCAAAGATAAATTGCAAAGAGGTTATGCTCTGTGATCAGAGAGACCACGACCACAAACAATCTTAATTGTGTTGAACCAATAAACACCAGAACAAAAATGTTTTCTTCTGGAAGAAGAAATGATGCCATTTTCAGCAAGAGCCAAGGTTTGTAAACCCTAGCACCCTTTTAAGCTTCTCCAAGTGCTACACAGAGCCCTTGATGATTTTCAGTTAGGAAATGTCCCCGACGCTGACATCCTATCTCATGACAAGAAGACAACAGCGAGGGACTTTCCCAAAAGTGACTCCAAGAGGCCGTCGAGATGTTTTCAGGTTCTAAAATAGTCACTTCCATTCAAAGTCCTACGGGGCAATCATTAAAAAAAAAAAAAAAAAAAAAAGCTTTCCATTTTTCCTGGTCTGGAGGTGAGCCAGAAGGCCACTCTTAATACTTGGCTAGCTTCGCTTAGGTCTCAGAGAGATTTTTACGTGGATATAGGAACCAGTAGAGCCTTCTGAGCATGCTGTAGGGTCCAGTTCTCCCTGATCACCCCTGAATCATTGGGGGGAGGTCATGAGGAGGGCGCACTCAGCAGGCAACCTTTAAACGAGCCCAGAAACAACTGGAGCAAATGCAACGTGCTCCCTGAGGTGAATGCACGCCCTTAATTTTTCCTCCAGGTTTCTGCAGGGTGTGTATTTATAGACGGTCCCAGGGAGCGGAGGGTTGGGGACAGACTTCTTCACTAGAGAACAGGCCACACCCTCCCTGCTTCCCTATTTCTTTTTAAGGCCACCAGTGACGTCATGCTCACCTTCCACCCCGGGGCAGGGGCTGGGTGTTTTTCTAATTGTCGGCCACACTTCCTCCACCGAGTTGCTTCTTCTCGTGGGGACCGGCTCCTGGAGTCAGGCACGAAGCAGGATCCAACTCCACGTGCCGAGGAGGAACTCAGGAGCCAAGGAGGAACTCAGGAGCCATGGCGTCCTCCAGGCGCGACCTGTGGCGCGAGGCTGGGACATGCGAAGTAGGAGGACGTGACTGGAGCGAGGAGAGGGGCGACGACGAGATCCACAGGCACTGCGGCTGCGTAACATCCTGGGCCTCTCTGCCTCCCTACAATCCTATTGGCCAGTCCCCTCAGAGGGGCACATGGGTCTGGCCAATCACCAGGGCTGGTGCAGGAAGAGGCGGAGCTAGATGAAGGCACCTAACCACCAGCAAGAGTGGGCCTGGCCTTACATCCAGTCAGTCGCCTGTCCGCCTTCTTGGTGCAGGAGCTCCCTTCGGGCCCATTTTACAGGTAGGAAGACTAAGGTTCAGAGAGAGAGACACTTGTCTCAAGCTACGTGGCTTCTTGGTTCATGTGCGGCCAGGTCCCATGACAAGGGTTCAAGTGAAAATAGAGTATGTGGGTTGGGAAGGCGAGGCTGCTAATAAAGGGTGCCATAGCAAGCCAGTGGGAGGCCTGTGTCACCAGGCAGGAAGACTGTCGCGACAGAGGTGGGAGGCCAGTGTCACCAGGCAGGAAGACTCTCAGGACAGGGGAGGACGGATATCTCAAAGTTATATCTCACAAAGGGTAAGAAATCTGGAGTATTTTTATTTATTTATTTTTATGTGGTGCTGAGGATCCAACTCAGTGCCTCATGAATGCCAGGCAAGCCCTCTACCACTGAGCCACACCCCCAGCTTTGACACCAACTTCTTCCACTACTTAAACAAAAGGGCGTGGCTATATGCCAATAAAACTTTATTTACACAAACAAGTGGCAGGCCAGATTTGGTCTCTGGGCCATATTCTGCCAATCCTTGGGTTCCACCAAACTTCATCACACAGGGCTGTTCAGAGAGTCAAGGCAGAAGCTACAAGTCCTCCTGGGGCCTAGGCTAAGAAGTCAACAGAATCATTTTGGCTTGTTCTGTTGGCCAACTCGAGTCACCAGCCAGTATGGATCTATGGGTGGATGACTAGACTTCACCGCCCGATGGAAAGTTCTGCAATATCATATGGCAAAGCCTTTGAGGACAGGAGGAATTTTTGTATCCTTCTTTACCAATAGTCTACCCTCCAACCTAAGGGTGTTTGATTCCCGAGTTCTCTATAATAAACTACCACACTTCCTCTTTTATCTTTTACCTTGTACAAATGGTTGAGGGTGGAGCTCAGGATGACAGCCACATCCTGATAAGTTTGTATCATGTTCAGTTCAAAATATGAACTAAGTCTTTATTCCAGGTAACAAACTTTGAGTGTGTGTGTGTGAGAGAGAGAGACTTATATTTGGCAGAATACATTTACGTAAATAGCTAACTGATTTTTGAAATAGTTTTTTTCCACCCAATTTTTTAAAAAAGTGAAACATTTTAAAAATATAGAAAAAATACAGTGAATTATATATCAACTCATTTATCCACCACCTGGCTTAATAAATGTTACAATTTTCCCTCCTATTTGATTCAGATTACTTTTATGAAGTAAAATATTACAGGCTCAACTGGGTGTGGTGGGAGGCTGAGGCAGAAGGATTGCAAATTTGAGGCCAACCTCTGCAATTTAGTGAAACTATGTCTTAAAAAAAAAAAAAAAAGATCAAAAAGATCTGGAGACGTAGCTCAGTGGGAAAGCAACTCTGGATTCAATTCCCAGTACCAAAAACAAACAAACAACCTCCCCCCCCCCAAAAAAAAAAAACCCAAATCCTATTGGATCACTGGGTATGTGGTACATGCCTGTGATCTAAGCTACTTAGAAGGCTGAGGCAGGAGGATCACAGGTTTAAGGCCAGCTGGGACAACTTAACGGACCCACGTTGGCCAACAGAATACAGCCAGAATTATTCTGTTGACTTTTTAGCCTAGGCCCCAAGAGGACTTGTAGCTTCTGCCTTGATTCTCTGAACAGCGCTCTGTGATGAAGTTTGGTTGAACCCAAGACCCCGTCTCAAGAAAACAACAAATTACAAGTTCAGTTTAAGTGCCTTCTCTATCACTTTATATTTTCCTTCCCGTCTTCCCTCCCTGAAGCTGGTGAGTTTGTTTTATAACATTGTTTTTATACTTTCAGTACAAATGTTGTTTTTATATTCAGTGCATGCACATGGATCCACAAAGCATGTGGAATTGTTCCATGTGTTTTAAAAATATATTCAAGTAGTGTTGGGCTGAGCACCTGTCATTCAGCAATTTCCCTTTACATCATGGTTTTGAGAATTCTCCTTGTGGATCTGTATACATCTAGGTCACTTCTTGTTAAGTGCTATGTGGTGTCTCATGGTACGAATGTGTCACTATTTGTTTATCCATTTATCTACTGATGGGCATTAAACTTCTGCTTGTTTGCAAGATTTGATGTTACAAGCTTTTGTGGATGTCACCTTGGGCATAAGTATAAGAGTCTTTCCAAGAGAACTGTGTCAAGAAGCCCAACTGCCAGGAGATTAATGGCATTTTTTTTTTTTTTTTTGGTACCAGGGATTGACCCCAGGGGTACTCAACCACTGAGCCCCATCCCCAGCACTTTTCATAGTTTATTTAGAGACAGAGTTTCGCTGAGTGGCTTAGGGCCTCCTAAGTTGCTGAGGCTGGCTTTGAACTCATGATCCTCCTGCCTCAGCCTCCTGAGGCGCTGGTATTACAGGCGCGTGTCATCGCATCTGGCAATGGCACATTTTTTAACATAACAAATGCTAAGTCTGGAGATAAACATTCCAGGACTAAAGTACTTGACCTAGGTTGATTCCTTCTGCCTTTCTGCCATGTTTAGCGGGTTCATTTTATTCTCAGTTTGCATTTTCATAGACATAAAACAGTGATGGCATCTCTGGACGTCACATCCAATATTCCCGTCAGGAAGATGGACAAGGAGCAAAAGGCCCAAGAAGCATTCTGGACCCCATAGAAAAGTTCTGGTGGAAGCCCTGCTCCTCGGCTTTTCACTTATGCCCTGTTGGCCGGAAGAGCATCACATGTTTCACCCACCGGCAGGTGAAGAGGAAGTTTCCCAGAGGCTGTCGATGGAGTGGGCTTGGCTGGTCAGTGGTGTCTGCCATCCTGCCAGGGCATCATGGCTGGACCCTGATCATCATCCCCACTCTGAAACACTGCCCGAGTCATCTCCAAAGGGGTCCATCCATTTTATAGTGCTGCGAGCACAGCAGGTAGGCTCTGCTTTCCACGTCAAAATCAGGTAATTATGAAGAAGCTATAGCTTGTGTATTGCTAGATCAAGTCACAAACCAAACCCCAAAGCCCGTGCTCCCAGAGCCTGCAGCAGGATGCATAGAGCTTGGATCATATGCCACACCCAATGTGAGAGCCCTTGCCTTGCCACCTAGTGGCCGGCTGAGTCTGTGTGAGTTAATGAGCCTCAACATCCTCATCTGTACAATGGGAGAAAAGCAGTACCTACTCATAAATATCTCTTAATGACTAAAAGATAGAATACTTATGAAGGGACCAGGGTGCAATTATGGAGGGAAACTGCAATCAGTGTTTCCTTCTGATATTGGCAATGTTATGTAGAGATTATAGATCATAGGCAGGTTGGCCGTATTTTTTGATCCCCAAATTAGGAAATAGATATGACACTTAAGAGTCTACTCATGAAAAAAACAGGTTAAAATATTTGAAATGGGAGCCTGTAAAAATATAACATGATTTCTAATATCTTTCTGTAGGTGCTTATACTAAACCATAGGCTTCATATAATCTTTGACTTCTAGAATGTCGTAGAAAGTTTTAGCATGTCCCAATTGTGTGTGTGTGTGTGTGTGTGTGTGTGTGTATCTCACTGGAATCAAATCCAGCCCCTCCACATACCCAGCATGTATTCTACCACTGAGTCATATCCCTAGTCCCTGAGTATGTAGTAGTAAAATAAAATAAAAAGTAGGTAGACTGAGACCAAATAATCATTCCCTGAACCCTAATTTTATTCCTTACTTTGTAAATAATACAGACCTGGTTTCTGTTTTCATTTTAATTTTTTGTCTTTGGAGAACAAAGGTTAGAATACAAACCTCAAACTTCCTTTATTTTCATATAAGATGTAACATAAGAACTAAGATATGAGTCATTTGGAGAAGCATGAAAGCAATGAAAATTAATAGTTTTTTATGGGAAAAATTTGAAGCTGCTAATATTATTAAATCCACAGCGGAGAAAGCTAAATGAAAATGTCGTAATTATCATTCTGCCCCTAAGCATTATCTTCACAGAAAACCTGTTAAAGTAGAACGATTGTAAATAATAGAAGGGGATATTGAAATTTTTTTTTTGGTGGGGGGAAGAATGTTCTAGAAACTGGGACTGCTAAACATTCTCCTGGTTCCCACATTATAGTGAGTGACCTGAGGAAACAGTGGCTAGTACTTTTCTAGAATTGTCTAAATCCCTTTCACAACATGAAAACCTTGATCTTCAATAGTTTTATTCTACAACCTCTGATCCTTAAAAAAAAGTCGCATGCTTCATAGTTATCATCAAAAGTACCATTCCACATAAATGTGTGAGATGCCTAACAAAATATCAGGCAAAATGGTAGACTCTAGGGATATAGTAGAATTCCTGCTGGAAGAATATCCTGCTCTCTGGGTAGATGAGAGATACACAGCACTTAGAATAGTCGGCCTCCTATGTGTGGCAGCCATGACTGTCATTCTTACTAAGTCCTACGGAACTTCCAGTAGAGACTGATGACAGTGATGGTTCTCAGTGGTTGAGCTTATGTTATGTGATGGTCACTGTACTTCTTGCCTTGTCTTCATTGTCCCCTTTAATATTCTCCACGACCTTGTAAGTTAGCTCTTCTTACAGGAATAGGACCTGAGGCCCCAGAACAGTGGCGGTGTGAAGACGGGAGGCCCAGGCCTGTACCTGGCCTCATTCAGCCCCACTTTGACCAGGGAGACTGGGTCCTGGTTTCTTTTACTTTCTACCCAAAGTACCTTGTTTTCTTTAGAGCTCCATTGGTAGGCTCATTTTAGAACCATGCAGTCAGTCTGGAAGTATGATCAGCTTTTTAGAAAGCTCCTTGGAGTTATATTAATAAACACAGCTTAAAGTTTGAGAATTGGCCACCATAACCAGAGAATAGCCGAAGGAAAATCACCAGCACACCTAGAGTTTCTAACAGTGTATAAATGTGCATCTGGGGCCTAGCTGGTTGTGATTTGCCACCAGGGACGAGGACGGTGGTGGGACTTGGTTTTTACCTGCAGACATAGGATGCCTGCCTCAGAGAAGCAGAACTGGCCCAGATACAGTGTGACATTTGTGAGACAACATGGCAACAGAGCTTAGAGTATAGGCTTCATACTGCCAATTACCTGGGTGTGGAAGCTTGATTTCCTTCCTGTAGCTGCATAAACAGCCAAGGATTTCCATTTCATTTTCCTTTTTGGGGGGTGGAGGGTACCAGGGATTGAACTCAGGGGCACTCAACCTCTGAGCCCCATCCCCAGCCCTAGTTTGCATTTTATTTAGAGACAGGGTCTCACTGAGTTGCTTAGGGCCTCCTTTTTGCTGAGGCTGGCTTTGAACTCATGATCCTTCTGCCTCAGCCTCTAGAGCCACTGGGATTGCAGGTATGCACCACCATGCCCAGCAAGGTTTTCCAATTCTGAGTACCAGTTTCCCTAACCTATGAGAGAGAATGTACATCCTTACATCCCAGACTCCTTGTGAATATTATTAATTAGTTAACAAATAACAAGTAAATATCAATTAACAAAGCATGAGACACAGCCTCATGAGGTTGGGACTGTTCTTTAGCCCCCCACCCTCAGCACATAATCAAATGCTTTGTTTTTGGGAAAGAGTCTATTATTCCCAAAAGGTTATCAGAAAATGTGCTCTGCTGCAGATGGTCAGTGTTTAAAAAAGAAGAAAGAAGTTCAGAGAGGGCATGGACATTGCCCAAGGGCTAGGGATGGGGTGGCGGAGGAGACAGAGATCTGAGTGTGGGACTTGCTTTTAGTGGCATTCCCTGAGGCCTGGGTTCTCTCTATTCCCATCCCAGATTTTAAAGGAGCTTGAAAATTTGGGAGAAGAAGGCTAATATTGCAAGAGAAGATGGCTTCAGAGATGGGGAGTTGGGTGGTCCCGTCTTTCCTTCCAGACATTGATTCACGATGACTTAATTCTAGAAAGATCGTCAGCAAGTAAAATAAATAGGCTAATCACCGTGGGCAAATTGTATGTTAATGCATCCGAACATTGTTTCCAGTCTGACCCTTAAATATACGTTTAATCAATCTAGACGGATGAGTCATCCTGCTCTTAATTCATCTTTCTGGACATTTATAGAGAAAAGGCCAAGTCTTCACGCAGACCTTATAAACGTGCCTTGGTTTGGTATGGATTTTTATTTATGTGCAGAGCCCAAGCAGCCGTTGCTTCTAAATGATGGCTTGTTTTGAATGTTCTCAGACCTTCAAAATGTTTTATTTCTACCCTTGGGGAGGGAATGGGGTGAGTTAAAAGAAAACACGGAATGGTTGTTTTTCATGGCAGGAGCCAGCAGTCCTTCTGGGCTGTGCGGTTGTGTTTGGGCTTTGTCGCTTTACAGTGGGGGTGGGGAGAAAGACGGGGTGCATGCGAATCAGAAGGCCTTCTTTGGGGAACCATGTCTCACTCAGATTTATCTCATCACAGGGACCCTGTGTTCAGTTTCCTTTGCCACCGAAATGATCAATGTCATTCCTTTGGATGTGGGGTATCCCCCAGAAGCTCACAGGTGAGATATGCAGGAAGGTCCAGAGGAGAAATGACTGGGTTGTGAGAGCCTTAACCCAACCAGTGAATGAACCCCTGATGGGATTAACTGGGCGGGGGCTGTGGCTGGAGGAGGGGGCATTGGGGGCGTGGCTTTGGGGGTCTCTATTTGTCTCTGGAGAGTGGAGTCTCTCTGCTTCCTGATCACCATGTAAGCTGCTTCCCTCCACCACAGTCTTCCTCCATGATGTCCTGCCTCCCCTGGAGCCCCGAGGAATGGAGCCTGCTGTCTATGGACTGAGACCTGGGAAACTGTGAGCCCCAAATCAACTCTACCTCTTGTCCCATTGCTCTGGTCGAGTCTTTTTGTCACAGCAGCAAAAGGCTGACTCAAACAAGGAGTCTCATGAAAGCATGTCCCTGGAAACTAAAGGCTTGCACTTCACCGAAGGCCAAGTTGGGGCCCAACTGCCCAGGCCAAGCCCAGTGTCATCATGGGCTTTTGGTCTGTCAGACATGCCGGGGATGAACCATCTGCTCGTCCTGGGCTAGGAGTGTGGCTCTAGAGCTATTTGCTCCAGGGATCGCCTTAAATTGGAGTCAGTCCTCTGGGCTCTGGGCTGTGCATATGTGCAGCAGATAATGGCATTATCGCTCTGTCCTCAAGTTCCTCTTGTCCACCAGGCTGTTGTGCCCCAGGATCAATGACTCTTGCTAATTTTGTGGTCCTGCCTTCAGCTCTTAGCATTCCTTTGTATAAAGTCCTCTGTAGCAGACACTGTAAAATTCCAGAAACTTGCTATATCCCCCGGGTTTGGACTTTGTAGGTATTCCTGAGATTGACATTCCTATGATCATGAAATAAAGCGAGGTCATAAGAATGGCATGTCTTGAGCTAGAAATAAATCCACTGTGGCTGGAGGAGGGTGGACAAGGAATGGGGGTGGCAATTTGGCCAGTTACGAGGGCCAGATCATGATGGGTCTCAGGAGATACCGTAGAGAGTTTGGGTTTTACTCTAAATCCAATGGGAAGTCACTGCAAGGTTTCAAGCAGAGGACGGATATGGTCTGATTTAGGTTCTGGAGAGCTTCTTTGGTGCTGTGTGGATTCTTTGTACTAAAGTGTGGCCCATTCATGGCCCATCCATGGACAAGCATCATCTCTGAGCTTGTTAGAAAGGCAGAGTCTCAGACTGTTGGTGAGAATATAAGTCAGCACAGCCATCATGGAAAACAATATGGAAACTCCTCAGACAACTAAAAATGGCACCACTGTATGACCCAGCTGTCCCATTTCTGGGTCTGTTTCCAAAGGAAATGAAATCAGCCTACCAAAGAGACACCTGCATCCCTGTGTTTATTGCAGTACCCTCTTCACAATAGTCAAGACAGTGGTATCCATCTGTGGATAATTCGATAAAGACAATAAAGAAAAATGGCCTCTATGTAGAAGGGAATATTACTCAGCCATTAAAATAGATGAACTACTATCATTTGTGGAAAAAAAAGGATGGATCTGACTGACATTAGGTTCAGTGAAATAAGTTGGCCACAGAAAGACAAATACTGAATGTTCTTACAAGTAGAAGCGTAAAAACTTGATCTCACAGAAGAATGTAGAATACAGGTCACTAGAGATTGGGAAAGAGAAGTGGGTGGGAAAGGGGGATAAAGGGTGGTTGAAAAATAGGCACAGCTGTATGGGAGAGTAAGAGCTACTATCCTAAGACACAATAGGATGACTATATAGTTTGAAAAGCTGATATTTTTATAAAGAACTAGGGAAGAAAAGTTCTTAGGATTCAAGCACAAAGATATGATAAATGAGATAGAAGTGTTGAATATCCTGACTTGATCATTATACATTGTATACATGGGTTGAATTATCATCTTGTACCCAGAAATGTGTACAATTATTATGCAGCAGGAAAAAACTGTAAGAGAGACAGAGTCTTGGGCCCCTCCTAGGTCAGGGAGGCCTCATCTGCACTTTCCACAGGACCCCTCCTTAGAGAACTGCTCTGGTGGAGAATGGGTGGGGCAGAACGAGGAATCAGGTGGTAAGCTCCCCCACTTGCTGACTTTTCAAGTTTCAGACAAGTGTTGTTCTAGATAGATCTCAAGGGCCAACCCAAGCTTGCTTCCATGTTTCACTTCTGATTGGACTATTGCTTGTAACGTTTCATTTGTTAACTGATTTTCCAAGTTCCTAGGTGACTGCCATTTTTGGCTTTTACTTGGCAGCTGAACTGCCCATTGAATCTTTGCCTGGGCGTTTTCCTTATTTATCTATTGATTACATACATCCTCAGCCCTCAAGAAATAGCCACTTTATCCATCATAATCCCAAGTAGCCCTTGTATCAAATATCTGTGTCTTAAAAGGCAGATAAATGGATCCCTGAAGCTGGTGTAGCTTCCACATTCAAACTGGTAGGCAGCCATCACCCTACCACATTACTATCAGGGGATTATAGGTTGCCATTGGCATTGAGTTGGCTAAGGTTAGATTTGACTTAAACTATGAAACTGCTAACAACAGCTTATACCAGATAAGCCTATTTCTCTCTCAGGTCAGAATCTGGAGGTAGATAGTGTAAAGTTGTTAAAAAGGTTCTACGCTCGAAAGATTCCAGGGACCAGGGTTGTTCTACCTCATTCCACTGTGTGTAGCTTCCATTCCCAGAATTACCATGGTCCAAGATGACGACTCTTTCAGTTAGCGTTTTTGCTGCTGTGACCAAAAGACCTGACCAGAACAATGGTAGAGGAAGAAAATTTTATTTAGGGCTCATGGTTTCAGAGGTCTCAGTCCATAGATAGCAGACTCCATTCTTTGGGGCTCAAGGTGAGGCAGGACATCATGGGGGAAGAGTGTGGTGGAGGGAAGCAGCTCACATGGTGATCAGAAAGCAGAGAGACTCCACTCTCCAGAGACAAATAGAGACCCCAAAGCCACGCCCCCAATGCCCCTCCTCCAGTCACCCCCACCTGCCTCCAGCCACCACCCAGTTTATCCCATCAGGGGTTCATTCACTGGTGGGTTAAGGATCTCACAACCCAGTCATGTCTCATCTGGACCTTCTTGCACTGTCTCACATGTGAGCTTTTGGGGGACACCTCACAGCCACACCATAATAGCAACTTCCCCTCCAGCTACCACATTAAAATTCCAGCCACCAGGACAGAAGAGATAAAAAAGGTGGCACAAAGAAATCATGGCAGCAGACTGAAGAAAGCTTAATAGAACTAACATATGGTATTTCGTATTTGTGGATTATTGGTCTGAACTGAGGCTGTGTAGGGCCCCAACTCTGTGACCCCAACTCTGAGAAGTGGCTTCTGTTTTCGTTGTACAGGTACTGAGCTAGTTCTTAGTTTGAGAGAAGAGGAGAAAAGTATTAGGAAATAAGCAGTGGTTCCCAACGCAGCATGTCTCAGGGAGTGTGATTTGATATGTAATCTAAACAGATAAGGGTACCTCCCCACTTTTATCTAGACTGAATATTCCCCATCATGATCTCATGACTGTGTCGTATAATTCTTTCCACTTTTTGTTCCAAAGAAAAAGAGATGTGTGATTGAGCAGGAATGCATTCCTGCATTCAGAGTTGAAATATGCAGATGACCCTCACCCACTGGAAGCAGGATAAAAGAGATCCCCTGGATAGTTCTATTACTATAAGCATCATTTCCTGAGCTGGGTCCTTGGGCAACAAAGGAATGGAAGAGGAGCTAGGCCTCACCAGGAAGTCCTCCTTGACCCAGCAGCCAGACCCCTTCCTTGCTACCAAAGGAATGGAAGTGGGCAGGTGCAAAGGCTGGACTTCCAGAGCGGCTTCTACCAAGGTGTTGAATCTTAGGTCTGGAATGGGTCTGTTTCACTCCAGTGGCTAGCAGGACCAGCTGTGGAGCCAGCTGGGCCAGAGTGGAGGAATGGCTATTCTACTTACAAGCTGGCTACTTCGGAGCAAAAAATCTCTGATCTCAGTGTGCATGCTTGAAAAAGGAGGGAATGAGGCTGTCAGTTGACAGCGCATAGGCAAATCAATGAGACACTGCATGAGAAGCTCTTAGCGTAGAGCTTGGGCCTATGTTAGGACTTAAAAAATGTTGGGTATTATATTTTCAGCCTATATACATATATACATATATATGTGAAAAAAAATATAAATGTAATGGTAATGATTTTATTTATAGATTTATAAACATAACGATTATATATATATATATATATATATATATATATATATATATATATATATATACACACATATATATAATTTTTTTGTCCCCTAGGATTGAACTTAGGGGTGCTTAACCACTGAACCACATCCCTAGCCCATTTTATTTTTTAAGACAGTGTCTTGCTAAGTTTCTCAGGGCCTCACCAAGTTGCTGAGGCTGGCTTTGAACTTTTGATCCTCCTGCCTCAGCCTCCTGAGCTGCTGGGACTTACTTACAGGTGTGCGCCCCCACACCCAGCATAATATATATATTTTAAAGGCATTTTAAAAGGACATCGTTCTTGAGTCACATTTTTAATATTATTTATTATTATTTAAATGTATATTATATAATGATGTATTATGCATATATTATTTAAACATATAGATATAGAATTAAATACATAGATATAATAAATGTGTAAGTTTATATATGAACTTATATATAAGCTTATGTATTTATCATATTTATATATTCCTCCATTAACTCAACAAATATTTGGTACCTACTATGGGCCAGATCCTTGTTGGTAGCATTTGCTGGAGGGGGCAGGAAATGAATTAATAAATGAATGATTCAGTTCTGTGCTAAAAGCAGCTCATTGCTTAGTGGAAAAGAAAAGAACTGAACCATTAATTCTGCTTCAGTGAGGAAAAATGCAAAGTATAAAATGTTATTAAAACGAGAATAGAGAGTTATACTCCTGACCATCAACTCTGTGTCATTTCTTCAGGTCATCATGAATCATATGCCCTGTCTTTTATTTACCATCACCTTGTGTTGGGGGGGATAAAGACAAAACAAATCTTACCTTAAATGTATATAGTGATTGTAGGTTGCGTCTTAGTTTCAGAAATGTATGTGAAGAAAAATCAAAATGTAGGCGGGTGTGGTAGTGCACACCTGTAATCCCAGCAACTTGGGAGGCTGAGGCAGGAGGATTGCAAGTTCAAAGCCAGCCTCAGCAAAAGTGAGGCCTTAAGCAACTCAGTGAGACCCTGTCTCTAGATTAAACACAAAATAGAGCTGGATGTGGCTCAGTGGGCGAGTGCCCCTGAGTTCAATCCCAGATACCCACATACACACAAAAAGACCTTTCACAACAGGATGACTAATTATTTTGATTTAAATGCCCATAGAGAACCAAATAAATTCTTGCATGTACACACACAAGACTTAGCTTGCTTATACTTATTGGAAACACTTCCTTCCAAGGATGGCTCAGGCTCATCCCACCAGCTGTAGGATTGCAAAAGTGAGGATTTTTTTTAAAAGGAATTTCAGTGTAAGGGAAAAGAAAACTGTTCCCCCTAACTTTAATGTACATCACATTCACCTGGAGGGCTTGTTAAAACACCAAGTCTTAACCTCTCTTCCCTAATTTCTGGTTTATTAGGTCAAGAATGGGGTCTAGGAACTTTTTTTTGGCACCAGTGTCACTTTTAGTGTCGGTTTCCAAGGCCTCCCTTAATTATGTCTGCCTGAATACTTGAGAACATCTCCTGTGTCCTTGACCAACCGGAATCTCTTCTCTCTCTGCCTCTTGGTATCCGGTTCACTGTGCTGGACTCAAGAACTTACTTTGAGAACTGACGGGTTCCCTGAGGGGTGCTAAGAACTTATGCCAGCACCATCAGATGGGCAGAGTGGTCTATGGGTACCAGCTTTGTGGCATTTAGGTGTCCCACCATCCATGTGAGATGCGGACTGTGGTCATTCTTGCATCCCAGAGGAGGAAACTGAAGCAAAGAGTTTAAGTGACCTTCCCTCTTAGCTGAACAAGAATTCAGTCCAGCCCGTGGGACCCGAGTGTAGGCACTTGAAAGCCCAGTTGTCCAATCCTTGGGTCAACAGCAAGAGAAAGCAAACTAGAGCAACCCCATCCACCACGATCCAGAAGGCCCCCCTATTTTCCCCTCAGACGCCTGCTTCCCTCCTAATCTAAAAAAAAAAAAAAAAAAAACAAACAAACCAGAATACCTATTAATCAGAAACAAAGAATCCCTGCCATCGCATGTTGCTGTTTGTGCCAGCATCGCCAGGGAGAAGCTCCACCATCCATTATTTTGATGGGTGCTGAAGGGAGGAGAAGGATGAGATCAGCCCTCAATGGATCCAGAAATTATTGGCAAGTACCACCAGAAGGGGTGTGTTTCACTGAGGAGAAGCCACGTGTGTGGTGAGCAGTTATCTGCTTTGAAATGCAACCTCAGACAAAAGTCTTACAAAGGGAAAAAATGAACATCAGGAATGGAGAAGGAAGATGACCAGGGGGAAAGGCTGTGCTCTCCCTTATCGGAGATCTCCAGGGTTGCGCCATATTTCTGCAATACGAGAGGACTGAAGTGCAGATGACTTCCAACCTTCTGATCCAGGTGTGTTCCTAGGCAGAAAAAAAATGACCCTACATTTGTCTGTTTGCAGTGATAAAAGGTTAAAAAAAAAAAAAAAAAAAAAGGCCGGGTGTGGTGGTGCAAGCCTGTAATCCCAGCAGATTGGGAGGCTGAGGCAGGAGGATCACAAGTTTAAGGTCAGCTTTAACAAAAGTGAGGCCCTAAGCAACTCAGTGAGACCCTGTCTCCGAATAAAGTACAAAATAGGGCTGGGGATATGGCTCAGTGGTTAAGTGCTCCTGAGTTCAATCCCCGATAAACCCCCAACCCCAAAAATAAGGTATAAAAATTTTTTTGTTGTTTTTATTTCCAGATAAATGTAAAAATTCTGCATGAAATTGAGCTAAAACTGCAGCTTGGCAGGAAGAGTGTTTATGAACGGTTGGGAGGGATGACAAGAGCGTGGTGTCTTTTTTTCTGTGCTTTTCCTTTGGAAGCGTGTGTGTTTAGATTTGCTCGACAACCTGCCAGGTGGTTTTGTGTGGGATGGGTCTTGACTCCAGTGTATTTTGTGTTTATTGTTTTAGAATCACTGGCCCCAATAAGTCTTCCTGTTCAACATGGATTTTCCAGTAAATGGCAAAGGCCCCCTTAAATCTGTCTGCAGTTCTCAAGAGACTGGTCCAAAGCCTTCCCAGGAACCATGGGTGGGCATCTATGGAAGGGCTCACGGTCATGTTTATTTACTCACTTTGGAGGTAGGAGCCTGCCCTTCAGCTCAGAGAAGGAACACAGACGGTGATCTGCAGTTGAAAGCTAGTGAAAGCTAAATGGTTGGGCTTGAGGGGGCTGGCGGGAACCCAAATCCGGCCAAGGTCAGCATGGAGTGCTGCTAGGGCTGCATTAGCATTATCACGGTCAACATTATTTCCCCAATTATCCTTTAATGGGTCCAATTTACCTTCAAGTCTGTAACTAAGACACAGATTCCTTATCTTCTGTTCCGCAGTCCTCAGACAGATCCAAAGCAAATTTCAGCCTTCCCAGCTCTGAAGCCAATCTTGATCTTTTCCAACAGTTATTCTGTTCTTATTTTTGTGTCTGCCTCAGACTGGCCATTAAACCCAGACTCCCACTGTATAACCATGATTGTTCATATAGATACGGGCTACTCAGCTTGTAAGTCCATGGAAGGTGCCTTTGTAAAGTAATGTTCAGTGTCATTTTGGGTATAGGTGATGCCACTAGGCTTGGATACAAAGCTTTTTTAAAATCGAGAAATTCTCAGTAGGGCAAAATGTCATACACCTATAATCCCAGCCACTGGGGAGGCTGAGAGAGGGGGATCCTGAGTTCAAAGCCAGCCTCAGCAAAAGTGACAACAAGTCTCTAAATAAAATACACAATAGGGCTGGGGATGTGGCTCAGCAGTTGAGTCCCCCACTGAGTCCTGGGTTCAATCCTCAGTAGCCACTCCCCTCAAAAAAAAAAAAAAAAGAAAAAAGAAAAAAGAAAAGAAATTCTCCAAAATGTCACTGTTGAAGTAGCTGTATGTTTTTTTTCTCTTGCTTTTTGCTCTTGGGTTTGGCTTGAGTATTTACGGGGGGATGATGGGGAGGTAAAGCAAGCAGCTGATAGGTGGTCGATTATCAAGACATTTTAGTTCGCTTCCCAAATTTACTGTTGAGTGGTTGTCATTTTATTTGATCCCAGAAGGCTTAAAAATCATCCAAATCTATGCATTAAGACTGAGAAGAGTGAACATGTACCCAGTTCCCAGTTACTGAATTGACCTTTTTTCTTTTTTTTACAGATTATTGTTTTTAAAATTATTATTATTATTATTATTATTATTATTGTTATTATTTTGGTACCAGAGACTGAACTCAGGAGTGCTTAACCAGTGAGCCTCATCCCCAGTCCCCTTTTATTTTGTATTTCCAGCCAGGGTCTCTCCAAGTTGCTCCTGGCCTTGCTAAGTTGCTGAGGCTGGATTTGAACTCATGATCCTCCTGCCTCATCCTCCCCAGCAGCTGGGATAACAGGCCTGCACCTCTACGCTGGCTTTCTTTGCAAATTAAAAGTAAACACAAAACAAAAAACTGACACCTAGGGTCCACCAGACTGGGAGCTTCTTGAGGTCAAGGGCACTTCCAGGCCCATTTCTGTGTCCTTGACCTCTAGCACCCTGCTTTCCTCAAGAAACAAGGTATGCAGTGATTGCTGAATGTAATGGTCTCAGTTCACCCTGTGCTTCTGCTCTGCTGTGGGTACCTCCAATGCAGGATGATAGAATAAGAGAAAATAGTTCCGCGTCACAAAGGAAGTCTTTGGGAAGATGGAGAGATGAAGGAACTATCCCAGGAATGCAGACAGTAGTAAGGAGACAGACTTCAGGACCTGCCGTCCTGGTTGATAGTCATTATATTCTTAAGGGTTATATTCATGACCACTAAACATTAATGTGACCTGGTTGAGATCCTAAGTGCTGGAACCTCAGTCGTACTTGGAGTTAAGGACTCTACAGAGGTGATGAAGTTCAAAGGAGGTTGTAAGTGGCCCCCTCAACCTCCATGAAGGGTGTCCTTGTAAAAAGAGGAAACTTGGACATAGAGACTCACATAGAGGGAAGAGTTCCAGGAGCCACAGGAGAAGATCATCATGGACACGCCAAGAGAGAGCCTAGAGAGATCCTTCCTCAGTTGACTTCTAGTATCAGAACTCTGAGAGAATAAGTCACCGAGACTGCCATACTTTGTTATGGAAGCTTCAGATTTTGGTATTATCTTCTTCTTCTTCTTCTTCTTCTTCTTCTTCTTCTTCTTCTTCTTCTTTTTTTTTTTTTGTACCATGGATTGAACTCAGGGGCACTTAACCACTGAGCCACATCTGCAGCCCTTTTATATATTTTATTTAAAGACAGGGTCTCTCTGAGTTGCTTAGGGCCTCTATAAGTTGCTGAGGCTAACTTTGAACTCACAATCCTCCTGCCTCAGCCTCCAGAGCCTCTGGGATTACAGGCGTGCACCACCGTGCCCAGGACACTTTAAATTTAAATCTCACATGTTGCTAATGTCTCCTATACCCTACAGCTTAGAACACAGAACATGAAGCTCTTCATTCAGTCAGTTGTTTTCAAACCCCTTTACCCTCTCCTGCTCTGACTTCTAAATGAACCTAATCTAATATCTGCGTTTTTTCCTCATGGGACTCAATTTTCTCACATTGGTTTCTGGACTCTCCAGTCAACGCTGCAAACCAAGCAGTCTTCAGAGGTGCGATCACAAAGCAAAGCACTAGATTTTTAAACAAACTGAAAAAAGGGTTATTGGTCTAAGAAACAGAACAAGGAGTAGAAAATAATTAGTCGGCTCATGCTATTGTGAGCCAGCCTCTGGGTGCTCTGAGCAAACTCATCTCCTGCCATTTGAGGAAAGTTGCCAACATTTGCTCTCCTGTCCTCTGAGGACCGTTGCCAAATATGCTTTCATTTCATCCTGTTTGGACAGTTGTTTTAATGCCCTTTCCTGATGTTATCCCTGAACACACAATTAACAGATTTCTTGAAGACACCAGCTGCAAGGAGAGCTGTCCGCCCTCCATTGCGCTCCAGCCCTGGCTCGCTAGCTCGGCTTGGTGAGCAGATTCTAGAATCATGTAGGCTCTTCTGTCTGAGCAACGAAGCTCTGAGGGACTCCCATCCAACCCTTTCTCCCTTGGCCCTTTTGGGAAAATGTGCCTCTTCTCATCTCAGCCTCTGTCAAGACTGCCATGCCCCTCTCAACAGGCTGTGACAGTTTTATGGGGTTTTGACCATTCTGCATCTCTCAGGGCATTTTGATGCCAAAGATATCAGAAGCACATCCCCCCCTCCCCCAGCCCAACGCCGGTTTTTGCTGCTGCCTTATTAAATGGGCAAACATGGTTGAGAAAGAGCTCTGAGATTCCCTGGCATGATAAAGGGGATTGGATATGGAGTCTGTGGTTTCAGATTCCAGCCGTCATCCTCTCAAACTTGGCAACTGCAGAACCACATATCCTTTGGGCATGGTGTCTCAGTAGGTCCCGCACCAGGGCTCCTCCTCTTTCAAGGTCAAATGCACAGTAGTGGAGCTTCATGAGGACTTTGGAAAGACTGTGGATGTTCAAATGCCATTTTAAAAATTTTACTATTATTTTTTTAGTTGTAGATGGACACATTACCTTTATTTATGGATTATGTGGTGATGATCGAACTCAGTGCCTCAGACATGGTAGGTAAGTGCTCCGCCACTGAGCTACAGCCCCAGCCCCTCAAATGCCATTTTAAAATAACTTAGTGTTTAAAAAGGTGTCATGAGGCCAGGTGCAGTGGTGCACGCCTGTAATCCTAGCAGCTTGGGAGGCTGAGGAAGGAGGATCATGAGTTCAAAGCCAGCCTCAGGAACAACGAGGCACTAAGCAACTCTAAATTGAGACCTTGTCTCTAAATAAAATACAGAATAGGGCTGGGGATGTGGGGCTGGGGATGTGGCTCAGTGGTCGGGTGCCTCTGAATTCAATCCCCAAGACCTCCCCGCCCCCAAAAAGGTGTCATGTAACATTGAAATGAAAATAATCATGCATATATCCTATATCCTAGCAATTTTGTTTTCAGGCATCTATCGTCTAGAAATAGTTAATACAGGTGCCCCCAAAGAAGAACATTAAAGGAAAATATTGTCAGGGTTTGAGGTTGGCAAATGAATTAAAACTATCTAAGTGTTCATTCAAAGGGAGAGTGGTTAAGTGAATTATTGAATATCTTTACAAGGGAATCATTTGCATACATTTAAAGACGGCATCGGTTTATTTATAAGTGCTGATATTGGCTGGGCATGGTGGCGCATGCCTGCAACCCTAGGGGCTGGGGAGGCAGAGGTAGGAGGATCACAAGTTCCTAAGCTCTAAGCAACTCAGTGAAACCTTGTCTCTAACTAAAATATAAAAAGGGCTGGGGTGTGGCTCAGTGGTTAAATGTTGCTGGGCTCAATCCCTGGTACCTAAAAAAAAGAAAAAGTGCTGATATCGAATGGTATTTATGATAAATTAAGAGAGAAAAGCAAATTGTAGAACACTATATTTAGTGTGCTTCTATTTGAGTACTTAAGTGATTTATTTATAAAGAAAATCCCAGATAACCATGTGCCTCTGTATGCATAGAAAAATTTGGAAAAATACTCAGGAAATTGTGAAAAATGTGATGATTTGAAAGAGAGTTGTTTTATTTTGTATTCCTTGTGTACTATGAATTTTGGGAACCAGGAGAATTTTAAATTTTTCCAGTAAAAATTACTTTAAAAAGACAATGAAAATCATCTCTGGGCCCTCTACTCAGCAGATTTTTTAAAATGTTTTGAAGTGTATCCTTCTAGATTTTTCTTTTACTCACATATGGCATACATTAGTCAATATAATACAGCCATTTGTGATTCATTTTTTTCCTCAAATAAAAATTTCTTTTGTCAATACATATAGTTGATCATTTTATATTTTTCTTTAGTCTGGATACATTTTATTGATCATAAAATGCACAGAATAACAAAATTCACCCATTATAATTAAAGTAAGAAAATAAAGTGCAGTTTTGGCGTGTTTTTGCAATACTGGGGCTGAACCCAGGAGTGCTAGATCCCAAGCCCTTTTATTTTTAACTTTGATTAATTAATTTTTTTGGGGGGGATACCAGGGATCGAACTCAGGGGCACTTGGCCACTGAGCCACCTCCCAGCCCTATTTTGTATTTTATTTGGAGACAGGGTCTCACTGAGTTGCTTAAGGCCTTGCTAAGTTGCTGAGGCAGGTTTTGAACTTGCAATCCTCCTGCTTCAAACCCCGAGCACCTCTGCACCTGGCTAAAACGCAGCTATTTTCGGTATATTGTCGTTTGTTTTGTTTTTGTTTGGTACTGGGGATTGAACCCAGGAACCCTCAACCACTAAGTCACATCCCCAGCCCTTTTTTTTTTTTGTATTTAATTTAGAGTCTCCGTGAGATGCTTACTGCCTTACTAAATTGCTGAGGCTGGCTTTGACCTCATGGTCCTCCTGCCTCAGCCTCCCCAGCCGCTGGGATTATAGGCGTGGGCCATCTTTCCCAGCCACTCCCCTGCTCCCTGTGCCTGGTGAATGCAGCCAGATATATATTTAAGCAAAAATCACTGCTTGGCCAAGTCAATACAGGAGGTTAAAATACATTTGAAGTGACTATGATTTCACAGAAGGAAGGTGTTCTATGTGGCTTCTACTCCCCAGCCCTGACAATTGCTGTTTGAAAAGCAATTAACTGTGATAGGTGGACCAATCAGAGAGCAGTTTACTTCACAGTTTAGAAAGCACAGATGTAAGTGTAGTTGGTCATCACAGCTGATTCTATTGCTCACCTTCCAAACAGGAAACTGAGTCCTCACGGGACCGCGGGACTTTCCCAAGGTCATGGCTGTCTTTCCTGACCCCAAACCCAGCTTTCTTCCCACCCTAGTGGGGTACCTCACAGTTACAGGCTTGTCGGTTTTCTTGAAGGAAACTGTCCCACTCTCTTGTCAGTGGAAGAACCATACAGGTTGACATCTGTGCCAGGGACTAGCAGAGGGCAGGAGTCCTGCATCCTAATGTTAGCTTGGCTGGCAATCCCGTATGCAGCTCTGGGAACATTCTGTCTGTGGGCCTCAGTTTCCTCCTCCATGAAATTGGGGAGCTCAAACCAAATGGCCTGAGGTTTCTTCTAGCTTTGTATATTCCATGATCTTTATAGGAAAAATCTGCAAAGGACAAATAGATGCTGTCTCTCAGTGGAGGTTGCTCCTCCTGCATTAAAATTCATGAATCCACATTGTTTCTAATCTGTCTGCATCTGGAAAGGTTCCCTGCCGCAGTCTGTCTGGCTGCAGCAGAATAATCGGGGGGGTGACGAATAACTTGTGTACTTGATACAGCAGGAGTAGGAGCCGTTTATTGCAGGACAGGAGCAGTATTTATACATTCCACAGAGCTTATCTAATTAGCATAAACTAGATACATCAGTCAACCAATAAGGAATCTCTACACTTAATGGCTCACTTTTGTTACTTCTCAAACCACTCCCTCTGGCATTTTGCCAGGCACCATCCAGACTTGTTTACGAACTCTAACATTCCCCTGGCTAAATGCCAGGTGTTATTTTGACTTGTTTACAGACTCTAACATTTCCCCCTTTTGTTTAATTTAAATAACAACCATAGTGGTTTTTACACAAACACCATAAATAATCTGCTACAAGCAGAAGGGGAGGATACAAAATGTCACAATACCAAGCCAATTGATGGCTCCATGCAAGAAGCCCTTGGAAAAATTATACCAGCAATGACACTGTTAGCAAAGATACCGAATTGCAATTTGTTATAGATTACAGTTTGTTGTCTCAGTCCAGGTAAAGCAGTGTCTCAATAGATTAACTCACAGTCCCGGTAAATCACAGTCCAGGTAAGTTCTGCAGGCAGCTAGCTTAAATCACAGTCCAGGTAAGTTCTGCAGGCAGCTAGCTTGATCCGAAGTCTCGTCCGGTTTTCAGCCGAAGTTTCATCCGGTTTTCAGCAACACTGGAAATTTTTCCATCCTCGTCTTCATCGGCACTGGGACGAAGGCAGGAACTCTTGCAAAGATGCTAAAGAAAATCCTGTAGCATTCCACTAAGAAAACAACCTTCTGAACAATTTAGTACATTATCTCAAGGTTTTTTACATTTGAAATAAGCATTAATAGTGTTATTACTCATTAGCTTCCAGGTGTGGGAGAACCATTGTAGCTTAGTTATTGGCATTGAAAATGACCAAACATCAGGGACACCAGTAGCGTCTTTTGCTGGCTGTAGCGTCCTGGGCAGCCCCAGATGGCCCTGGGGAGTGTCCCGGACTCAAACTGCTACTGGGCACAGGGAGCAAGAGCCTGCGAGACTGTGCCTCCAGGTCAGGTCTAGATTTGGGCTCACGGCAGTGGAAGAGCCAGCTCCCCGGCCAGGAGGCGGGGAAGGGCCAGTCGCCACCGCCTCTTGGAAAATCCTTGCTGCGCTGTGACCGGCTTGCACACTCAGCAGCCGCCTCTCCGCTTCACGCACCCTCCGGTAACGAAAAGTATTTAGTAATAGCCTTTTGCTGCAACTTTTTTCCTGATAATCCTTCCTCCTCTGATAATCTTTCTTCTTCTGAACTTTCTGTTTCTTTCTGACTAGAGTTCCTGGGCTTCTATCAACACATGCCCTAACTATTCTTGGTTCCACTGGGGTGCCTTCTTCCCTTAGTAATTTACTTAACACCCCTTCCATATTTTCATCACAAAGACAATACAATACACTGAGACAAAACAAGACACAAACATACTGTATCAATCTTCTCCATTTTCTCGAAATGGCCATTTTTCCTCTCGCCCTATCTGCCTAGGGACGAGCAGATTTGCTCCCGTCCTATCTATGGACGGGCAGCTTTTTTTTTGTCACTTACCCCCAAGTGTCCCGGGGCTCCCCGTACGGGCCACCATCTGCCGCAGTCCGGCTGCAGCAGAATAATCGGGGGGGTGACGAAGAACTTGTGTACTTGATACAGCAGGAGTAGGAGCCGTTTATTGCAGGACAGGAGCAGTATTTATACATTCCACAGAGCTTATCTAATTAGCATAAACTAGATACATCAGTCAACCAATAAGGAATCTCTACACTTAATGGCTCACTTTTGTTACTTCTCAAACCACTCCCTCTGGCATTTTGCCAGGCACCATCCAGACTTGTTTACGAACTCTAACATTCCCCTGGCTAAATGCCAGGTGTTATTTTGACTTGTTTACAGACTCTAACAGTTCCCCACAAGGAAGTAGCTGATTACCCCCATGTCTGCTTAGGACTGGAGAAAGTGTCAAAAAGAAGTACCAGTGCTGGGTTGATAGTGCACACTTGTAATCCCAGAGGCTTGGGAGGCTGAGGCAGGAGGATCACGAGTTCCAAGCAGCCTCAGCAAAAGTGAGGCCCTAAGCAACTCATATGGACCCTGTCTCTAAATAAAATACAAAACAGGGCTAGGGAAGGTGTCTCAGTGGTGGAGTGCCCCTGAGTTCAATCCATTGTACCCCTTCCCCCAAAAAAGTACACTGTAAACTGATAGTAGAAAATACCATTCTGAGGATGGGGAATTCCAAGTTTTTGTAAGTTATAACTTTCTGTCTCAAACACTTAGTCTGAGTGTATAAACATGCCTTCTATTAATTAAGACTCTT